AAATGCTGATTGAAATGATAATGATGAAATAGCAAATAATTGAGGAGTATCAAAGGTACCAATTCGATGGATATTTGTATAAAAAAGAGCCCCCGTCAGTAATAAAAGAGCCCTCGTGAGAAGGCTCACGGGGGCTCTTTTTTCGGGGGAAGAGCCCCCGTGGACAAAAAATTAATTTGAGCCCTGATCTCGATTCAGAAAGTCCTCCCATTTACCATCTGTCGAAATTGCTAATGTTCCGATACAACCTGTCAAAAGGGTTCCATGACACATGCTCCGCCGACGATTGCTCCGCCGACATTTACTCCGCAAAACGCGACAATTGCTCCGCGACATTTGCTCCGCGACATTTGCTCCGACGTCAAATGCTCCGCCGACAGGTGCTCCGCCGACAGTTGCTCCGCCGACAGTTGCTCCGCCGACAATTGCTCCGCCGACAGATGCTCCGCCGACAATTGCTCCTCCGACAATTGCTCCGCCGACAATTGCTCCGCCGTCAATTGCTCCGCAAAACGCGACAATTGCTCCGCCGACATTTGCTCCGCCGACATTTGCTCCGCCTGAAGCGACACTTGCTCCGCCGACATTTGCTCCGCCGACATTTGCTCCGCCGACATTTGCTCCGCCGTCAATTGCTCCGCCGACAATTGCTCCGCCTGAAGCGACAATTGCTCCGGTGACATATGCTCCGCCGACAATTGCTCCGACGACATTTGCTCCGCCGACAATTGCTCCGCCGACAATTGCTCCGTCGACAATTGCTCCGCCGACAATTGCTCCGCCTGAAGCGACAATTGCTCCGGTGACATTTGCTCCGCCGACAATTGCTCCGACGACATTTGCTCCGCATGAAGCGACACTTGCTCCGGTGACATTTGCTCCGACGACATTTGCTCCGCCCAAAAAGTGTCCCATTAAATACAAATGCTACTAGTACTACGACAAATGCTTCGCCGACAATATTTTTTTTTCACGGGTTGTTTTTGTTTCTTTCTTTTTTTCTTCATTTTTTGAATGCATTTCATGACATTATGTAAATGAAATGAAATGAATGAATGTTGATAATGTGGGAGGAAAAAGCAGTTGCCTAAATGTCATTTCGAATATACTGAAATAACTTTCCATCTATCACTGTACGTCCCACATAATGTACACTAAACACTCATTACATGTCATGGGAAGTTTTGTTTTTTTTAAAGTAGAGCAGCAAGCCACATTCCCCAATACGCGCATACCTCCTAGTTAATTTCAAACAGCTCATCAATATGTAAGACCTGAAATTACCTCAATGAAAGAAGACTAATAACATGAGAGGAAAGAAAAGAGCAAAAAAGACAACCGTTTTTTTGCTATTCCCCATAATGTTTGATTTAAAAAAATAAAAAATAAAATTATAGCTCCTTACGCAAGTTCTCCGGCGAAAGATAATTACTCCGCTCAAAATCTGTTTCATGTATTACTCATTAGCTGATCCAAAGCTCAAGGCTATCTCTCTCTCTCTCTCTCTCTCTTTCTCTCTCTCCCATGCTCCTCCTTTTCCTGTTTACACCGTTTTCTTGTCTTCTTTGCTCTTTTCTTTCCTCTCATGCTATTAGTCTTCTTTCATTTCCATCACTTCTTCTCTGCTCCCCTCTCGAGTTCTATTTCTCTCGTGAAATTGAAACGTAAAGTAATACAATCATGTAGTACATTCTTGTTTAGAATAATATTTTCAATAATATCCAGTCCATTTTCTAAAGGTTTCTTTCCTTTAGTCAAGTGTATGTAGCTTTAATATATATATGTTAGTGTGCAAAACACTCCGTTTCATTCGAGTACTTTGTTTTCACTAAATAATTTAAGGGACTCACGAAGCCACCGGAAGAAGAGCGATTGGCTTATCATGAAGAACTAACATCAAACTGCAACAAAATGATTTGTATAAATGTGAATAAGCAGAAAGGCTGCCATCTCATTTTCCCGTCTGAATGGGTTCTCTTCCTTACGTATATAAGTGCCCTTATTTTCTAAACTTTTTTTTTTATATTTGTGTGTTTATTAAATTTTCAATCTTATAAAAATTACATATTTACAAGTCATTGGTAATAATTAGACAAACAAAAAAACCAATATGTATAAGAACAACTAACAATAATGAAAGGACAAGAAAGTTATAAAAAAACATTATAGTAAAAAAAAATACACTGTACACATATAAATCATAGTTTGAACTCCAGTGCATAAAGGGGAGTGAGGGGGCACAGGAATAAAAGTTAAATCAACATGAGTATCATAAGTCAAATCGCCATTTCTTAAAATGCGAAACAAGCTTGTTCCTTTTTTTCGCTGAGAAATATTCAATATCTTTTTGTTTCTTTACAAAACTCTTAAAAAGATCAACACTTGGTAAATCCCCCTTACTTATTTTCTAAACTTCCATGATGACCTATTACATTGTATAATGCTTTACCTAGTAAGATGCATTGATCGAGGTAATTTCAGGTATTACATATTGATGAGCTACTTGAAATTAACTAGGAGGTATGCGCGTATTGGGGAATGTGGCTTGCTGCTCTACTTTTTTTTAAAAACTTCCCACGACATGTAATGAGTGTTTAGTATACATTATATGGGACGTACAGTGATAGATGGAAAGTTATTTCAGTATATTCGAAATGACTTTTAGGTAACTCCTTTTTCCTCCCACTTCATCAACATTCATTCATTTCATTTCATCTACATTATTTCAAGAAATGCATTCAGAAAATGAAGAAGAAAAAAAGAAACGAAAAAAATAGGTGTAAAGAAAATATTGTCGGCGAAGCATTTGTCGTAGTACTAGTAGCATTTGTAGTTTATGGGACACTTTTTGGGCGGAGCAAATGTCGTCGGAGCAAATGTCGGCGGAGCAATTGTCGCTTCAGGCGGAGCAATTGTCGGCGGAGCAATTGTCGGCGGAGCAAATGTCGGTGGAGCAAATGTCGGCGGAGCAAATGTCGGCGGAGCAATTGTCGCTTCAGGCGGAGCAATTGTCGGCGGAGCAATTGTCGGCAGAGCAAATGTCGGCGGAGCAATTGTCGCTTCAGGCGGAGCAAATGTCGGCGGAGCAATTGTCGCTTCAGGCGGAGCAATTGTCGGCGGAGCAATTGTCGGCGGAGCAAATGTCGGCGGAGCAAGTGTCGCTTCAGGCGGAGCAAATGTCGGCGGAGCAAATGTCGGCGGAGCAATTGTCGCGTTTTGCGGAGCAATTGACGGCGGAGCAATTGTCGGCGGAGCAATTGTCGGCGGAGCAATTGTCGGCGGAGCATCTGTCGGCGGAGCAATTGTCGGCGGAGCAACTGTCGGCGGAGCAACTGTCGGCGGAGCAATCGTCGGCGGAGCATTTGACGTCGGAGCAAATGTCGCAGAGCAAATGTCGCGGAGCAATTGTCGCGTTTTGCGGAGTAAATGTCGGCGGAGCAATCGTCGGCGGAGCATGTGTCGGGTTACCGTCAAAAGTGCACGTAACCTTGGTGTCATCTTTGAAAATGATCTTAGGATGGATGATTATATAAAAAATATTTGTCGCTCAGCTTTATATGCCTTGTTTAAGGGCCTTTTTTGGACGCCCCCTCCGATTTAGGGGTGTTCGCTACAAATAAAAAAAAAAACACCTATGAAATACTATGTATTATGATAAAAATCTTTCGAACGAACAAGGTGTGCTTAGGTTGTTGACCCTTAACTTCTCACACGGGCCGCTAGGCAGGGATAAAAGCGATACATTCCACAAGAATATTGTCTAACGCTACTGGGTCGGACGCACTCTGAGTGTTTGTTCATTCCTCTACGGTGGTAACTTCTTGATGGTACTGGACAGGACCAATTCGTATACACGTCCAGACTTCCGTGCCATCACAACTGTCACGAAACATCACAACTGAGTGTGTAGTCCAGAATCTGCACGGTCCTTTATAATTTCCCCACACTTGATTTCAAGCCGTCGAAGATGGCGTTATCAACAGATTCATAATAATGCTCACCAGCCGAGCGTCTTAATTTAATGATCACGCCATCATCGGCTGGTAGCAAGTAAGTAGGGAGAGGTAGCGTTGGTGTGGTGGAGATCAAAATTAAATAGGCCAAATTCTGGACTACTGAGGGTGCAGAGTCCAAATATCAGATAAAAAAAAGGTGCTCATATTATATACGGTCATGTGGAATGCAAACATCGTCTAATTTTAGGTTGTAGACTGTTTATACTAGTTGTAGTGTAGGTAAGTGGTTTAGCAATTATGATTTGTAATATTAATATGATGGCCTTCTCGTGAAAAAAGCCACTGATAATTATGTAAACATACACTCGCTGAATTGTACATGTAGTTTCATTCATATTTTCAATTTCAGTTTTGCAGATGTCGTTGATCTTTAACTTTAGTTAGAGGCTTTGCTGTAGACAGTGTTTATTTAACCATGGATCTGCTACGTAGTACTAAGAGGTCCATGGTCTAGACGTAGACAAGTTCAAATCCTTGCCCCTGTCTAATCCATGGCCGTCAATCGGGGGGGGGGGGGTGTACAGGGGAACACGCCCCAAAATGTTTAAGGGTGGGGACTGTGGGGGAAACGATAGTGTCTGTCCCACCCCCCCCCCCCAGAAAAAAAAAGAAAAAAAAAAAAACAACCTAAAAAAATCTTGTATTTCGTATAATAGACACTAACGGGGCCCAACTTTTTAAAATTGTGCCTCAGATTCTAGAAATAGAGCACACATAAACAGAACTTTTAAACCAGTAAAATGCGTCCGAAATCATACCTTCCCACAACCGACGAATATTGCACAGTGGCTTCTGAGTTCGCTAGTGGACTCTTTTTTAAAATAAATTTCTTCTCATAAAAAGCACTTTTAAATCGGTCAAAGTCCGGTAAAGCACATGGTGATAATACATTATCATTGGATATTCCAACTGCACATTAATGTAAGATACCGGTAATTAGTTCTCGTTAATTTTACATATCATTTTGCAGCCTTCAAAAGAACGATGGATGTTCAGAAGATCGTCTCAAGTTTCGAAGCTGATGATATTGCCTTTGTAAGGTTTGAGCAGACTGATCTGTATGGCATTGCCAGATCCAGGACGATCCCCGCCCGACATTTCAAGGAGAAAGCTGTGAAGGGACTCCACTTTAAAGGCCATCTAGGATATGATCCCCAGACTAACTTTATAGGGAACAGCGCTTATTCTGCAGGTGTAGGTAAGTTTGATGCTGTCTGTTTCCCAGACCTTGATACCTACCAAGTGCTGCCTTGGAGCAAGAGAACTGCTCGGATTCTGATTGAGCCAACGTACAAAGGAAAGTTAGTTGAGGCCCAACCAAGGGTGGTTGCAAGGAGACAACTGGACAAGCTGACAGAGATGGGATATTCTTTGATGTCAGCGCATGAGCATGAGTTCTATTTAGTGGAGAAGGAATCTCGGAAGACCATCGACGATGTTGTCAACGTCAGGTCTACGGTTCGCCTGGCTGCATGTGAAGATATAGTGTATACTTTTTTGGATGGGTTAGCAGGTGTTGGGGTCGACGTTGAATGTGCAGAGACTGAACACAGCCCTGGGCAATTAGAGATCACCTACAAACCAGCGTTTGGGATCCGATCAGCAGACAACGCCCATACTTACAAGACAGGGATCAAAGAGATGGCTGTAAAGAATGGCTTCATAGCCACCTTTATGTCCAAACCTTACCCTGACGTGAGTGCATCCGGTTGTCATTTCTGTCATTCTTTATGGGACAGTCAAGGTAAGACGCCTCTCCTCTACGATGCCAGCAGTCATACAGGTCTGACACTGGTCGGCGAACACTGGGTTGCAGGCCTCCTTGAGCACACCCCAGCAATCTCTTTGCTCATGGGACCAACCATCAATTGCCTGAAGCGATACCTCGAGGCCTTTACTCCATCCAATGCAACATGGGGCATAGATAATCGCTCATGTGCTGTGCGAGTGAAACTCAATGGCAACGAGGGTACCTACCTTGAGAACCGACTGGGGGCCAGTGGCTGCAATCCTTACATCGCACTAGCTGCTATCGTGGCTGCAGGTATGGATGGTATCAACAGGAAGCTCCCATTACCACCTTGTGTAAAAGACATAGATAATGCATACAACCCAGTGCACATCCCGCCGGGCACTGCAAACGTCCCAACCAATATGAAGGAAGTTATGGAAACGCTCCAGATGGATGATGTCATTACTTCAGCTCTTGGGGAAGAGTTTATAGATTGCTTCTTGGCTGCAAAGAGACATGAGATTCTTTTGCAAGAAAACAATGAAGAAAATTGGGAACAAAATCTCTTCTTTGAAACCATGTAGACCCAGGCCTTATTTTATTTGTATAGGCTTATCTTTCTGGTAAGCTTATTTTGAAGCACAATTGAAAGATATGGATAGAGTGGTACTATTCAGGATATGGATGATTTGTGTTTAAAGTATCTTCACATTAGGCCTATATCTCTACACTGATTGTCTTCTGATGCAAAATGTAATAGCATGGAGCGACTGCATGAGCAAGGAGGATCAGCTGGTTTGGTGTAAAATGCCAGAGATAAACATTATCCTCCGGCAATTTTACATCTGACATTTTTACCTTTGACATTTTAACCCCAGGCATTTTTACCTCTGACATTTGTACCTTTGATATTTAACCTCAGACATTTTTACCTCTGATATATTTACTTCAACATTTTTACCTCTGATATTTTTACCTCTGACATTTTTATCTGCCATTTTTCATTCTACATTGAATTCATTTCGGCATAGGTCCAGCTAGTTGGCTATTGATAAAGGATTTGTGATGTTGTGTTCATCCATACACATTACTCCTTTTTACATCGATTTTTTACATGAGATATGGAGACTAGTTGTTACTTTAATTCAATTCAATTCATTCAACCAATCATTAAAAAAATTACAATCATACTGGTACTGGTACAATTACAATATAATGACATGTTATGGACTCCTGAGAAGCAAAGCTTGTAAATGGGGCCCATTGATATACAATCTAATGAATTAAAAAAATACATGAAGAAAAAAAAATATTACGTAACGGTTTCAAATATCTTGCAAACACAGTCAGCCATACTCACCCACTCATACACAATGCAATGCACTTTATAAAGAGAGAGAGAGAGAGAGAGAGAGAGGGGAGGAGAGAGAAGAATATTTAAAAGAAAAAGGGAGAGAAAAATAAGAAGAAGAAGAGGGAGCACATGCAGGATGTGAAACTTGAGATGCTTGTAGTCTTGTAATCTGTGATATACCAACAACCATTTTGCGCCTTTGCCGAAAGTGGATGCATTGATTGACAAGGATTTACTATATCTTTCATATTGCCATCGTTATTTATACCCACTACTCAGGTGAATTTCATGAGTTTTTTTTAATGTGTATCTACTTTGAATTGTTTCATGCTATTTTATATGCTTATACAGGATCCTTCCGATCCCACAGAAAGGCTTATACACATATTATGGAATTGGTTGTTTTGTATAGAATACTCACAACGACCCGTATACAATTAAATAACTCAATTCGAGCACAGCTGAGCTACTATAGATAATTACTACTTGTAGTGTGGATTTACTTTTTTAAAGTGGACTTTGTACTTATTAGGTGTACTTTAACGAGGTTATATTTTGTATAGAATTCTTTTCACTTCCATATCCTTTCATTATTAAATTGTTATGACTCATTGAGGAGGCACTGGTATCATGGGGGAGGGTCACTGGTCTTGCTACAGTATATTAGGTAAATGGAATACAAAATGAAGAAGGTCATATGAAGTAGGCAAGGTTTGTGGCTAGGATTCTATAATATCCTGTTCTTTTCACTTTGTTTTCCCCAACATCATTTCTTTTCTCTCTCGTTCTTGATCCCCCTGCAATCATCATCTGCCTCCCCCGCTGTATCTATATCATTGATTCCTTTGGATGCCATCAACCGTTTAAAAAGAAGGTTGAGTTCTGGGCCGAGTGAAAAACAATTTGTGAGCGTTATCATTCTTATTAAGCAAGTGTGGAAGAACATCAGATAAGACATGTTCCCTGAAAAGCATGGCTCTTCAAATGCCTTCATATTCTAAATATGTCATGTAACATCGTAAAAATCCAGGGTAGGATTTTTACGCCACGTGTTCGTGTAGTCCCTTATACATCTTTCTGTGTACAGTGTTTGCAACTTTACCAAGACATATGGCCACATTTCTTATCATGTTGATGATCCCAGAACCTTGCAATACACACAAATACTTATATGCTAGATGATCAACCTTTTCAGGTCGATTCCACATCGTTTCTTTCACAATGCAATCGCATGACCAGAACTTCATCTTTAAGTAAAGTTCAAGCCCGACTCCATTTATGTTGATGAGTAATCCTCTTACTACCATCAGGAATGAAAATCATGTGCAAGTTTAATGATGTTCAGAGTAATAGGCCTTGTGGTAATATAAGGTTCAATAATGCAACAATTTCGATTTCAACTTTCTTCGTGCTATTTAGTTATATTCATATTCTATATGTTTAATAGTATTGAAAGGTTTCGAGGAAAGAAAGCATTCTTTAATGTGTAAGATGCGAAAGCTTCTTTAATGTCCCATTTAATTTCAGAGACGAAAATTGTTGTATATTCTTTTATGTGCATCATGTGTAAATATATACCTCCTCTTCTTGGACTTTACTATTGGGCACATTAGTTAATTTGCAATATCGAGGAGTGGGTTGTGTTAAAATGTTTTCAAAATATTTTCTAGTAGGGGGGGGGGGGGCCTAGATTTACCATTTTCATGTTCTCATTTTTATTTTACTGTTGTGTATTCACTATTCACCCGGTATTTACTTCTATTTTTTTTTTTTTCTATTTTAAAGTTCCTTTGCCTCGGTATTAAAGGCACACTGTCCTACTTGCTCCCTCTATATAGAAAACTTCCCAAATCGGTGCCTGTTGGTCCCCCATGATCCTCTTTTTCTTATGTTAAATGAGAGCTGAGTTAATGAGATAGCCACCTGTCACACCTCGCTGGCTCACTGGGTGGTCTAATCTTTCTGGCTGAAGTAGTAAAGCCTCCCTTTAAATATGCAATGTGGAGTTGAACGTTAGAAAACTATGATTATTGTATTGTATTGTATTGTATTTATTTTCCGTCATTTAAAAAAATACATCAACATAATTATATATATATATATTTACAATCATAAAGACACACTTAAAAAAAAAAGAAAGACGGAGGGATGGCCCTACTCAGCGTTGTTAGCAAGACAATGCTGGTTTACAGAGGGGTCCCTATAGAAATAGAAAACATGAAAATAGTTATTACAAAAGTAAGGAAAACTTACAGCAAAATAAGAACTTACAATAATAATTACAAATTCGAGTAAAACAAGAAACATGAGAGAAATATTTACGATATTTATACAAGAGAGAAAGCTAGACAAGTAAATTATTTATTTAAAAAAAAAAAAAAAAGATACAGCTACAAGAAGTCTGGAATAGTATTGTTTAAATACTTTTTGAATGTTTGAACAGTTTGAAGTAATTTAGTGGTAGGAGGAAGAGTATTATATTGAATTGAGCTTCTGTATTGGGTAGTTCTGCGACAATATTCAGTTCTAGGTTTAGGGAGAACAAAGTTACCGGAATTGCGGAGGGAATAAATATGAGAAGGGGGGTTGAAACATTTCATTCATACTGGGAGATAACATATTATGGACTGATTTATAGACAAATACATTAAGATTTTTCTTACGCCTGGATTCGAGAGATGACCATTTTAAAAGTGAATGAATTTGTGCGTTAGAAATGTGTTCATATGGATTAACTTTCATTATTATTCTGCCCGCGCGATTTTGGAGAGTTTGCAGTTTCTTAATATATTTTTTATCACATGAATCGATTAAAATGTCTGCATAGTCAAAAAGGGGTAAAATAATTGCTTTATATATCAAGTTCAAATTCGTCTCATTAATAAAATAACGTAGTCTAGCCAAATATTTTACTAGGTTTCCAACCCTCTTACATAATTTATCTATATGGACATCCCACTTAAGTTTGCTGTCGATAATAAACCCGAGATATTTTACACTGTCAGTCTGTTGTATTGCAATATTATTTATATATACATTTAATTTATTACATTTACTTAACATATGTCTAGAGCCTATGAGTAAGGATACAGTCTTATCAAAATTCAGTGTTAACTTATTATTGCACATCCATTTATAAATATATGACAAGTCATGATTTAGTTTATTTTGAACACTTTCCACATTAAAATCTGAAAAATAAAGAACAGTATCGTCAGCGTAAAGTTGAATGGAACAATAATGTGTATATTGAGTTAAATCGTTAACAAAAATAATGAAAAGCAAAGGCCCCAAAATGGAACCCTGCGGTACACCAAAAGAAATGGGTAAATGAGATGAAAGAGTTGAACCAAAATAAGTGGAAATAAACCTGTTATGTAAATAATCATTAAACCATGGCAAACATTCTTCAGCTATACCAATATTACGTAGCTTTTCGAGGAGCAAGTCAGGATCAACGCAATCGAAAGCTTTTTTTAGATCAATAAATACTGCTCCTGTATATTTTCCCTGATCAACAGCGTTCATCCATCTATCTGTAATTTTAACCAAAGACGTTATTGTTGAGTGTTTACTCCTAAAGCCAAATTGTTCTGCTGATAAAAGTTTGTTTTCTTCTAAAAAGGAAACTAATTGCCGCTGAACAAATCTTTCCAGCAATTTTGATACCGTAGGTAGTATTGAGATAGGACGAAAGTTATTTGGGGAATTTTTGTTGCCAGATTTATGAATGGGAATGACTTTTGACCTCTTCCATTGATTTGGAAACTTATACTCGAGGAATGATCTATTAATTATGTGAGTAAGATATGGAACAATAATAGGAGCACACATTTTCAAAATTTTGGAAGAAATCCCATCTAAGCCCACAGAAGTATTATCTTTCAATTTCATTAGTTCTTTTCGAACATCATTTTCAGTGACTAAATGAAACGTAAACTTAGCATCATTATTAACACGAACTTCATCATCATTTATTGAATGTGGAGGATCATGAAAATTAGAGGCTAACTCTGCACCGATAGAAGAAAAAAATAGATTAAACTCATTAGCTCTCATATCAGAATCATTTACATGGGCTTCAGTACTATTAGTACGAGATGTTGGCAAAACAGTCTTCAACACCTTCCAGACCTCAGTAGATCTCCCCATAGCAGAGGACAGTTTATTAACATAATATTGTCTTTTAGTTTTTCTTATTTCAAAAGTTACTTTATTTCTTAACTTACGATAACAATTCATAGCATCGTTATTTTTGCTTTTCCGTACTTTTCTTTTGGCTTTATCACGTTCCTTTATCAAATTCATGATTTCAGAAGTCATCCATGGAGAAATT